CCACTGAATCCCCCCAGAATCACAAGACGTCTTGGTCTCCTTAGTTTCTTTTTTTTTCCCTCACCCCGAACGCGTTCTAATATCTTGGCAATTTCTACCACTAGTGGAAATAAAGTATCAGTCTGTAGCTCCCGAATCATACAAAATTTTACGATCATAATTAAGTCCTTTAATAAGTTTGTGGACTCGCTCTCTAGCTGTAGGAAGCAAAGTAGGAATATGACGAGCTAACTTATTGAACCTGATGGCATATTATGACACCGTCATGGTGACCTGACGTAATCGTTCAAACCCTATGCGCCATGCATTACGGAGAGTCCGGGAAACAAACTCTTTCAAAAGTATTTCTGAGAACCGAGCCAAGTGGGCGGTGTTGTATTGGCTGGTCTGCCCTCTTCATAGGCTTGCCACAGACACCTGTGGAGAATTATCTCTCCCCAAGGTCAATTTCTTCTTTTGTTATGCTAACTCAACACTGTTGAGCTGACCCATTTCTTAACATACTTTTTGATTCTTCTTTGGGGTAAACTTTACCCCTATTTATATACAATGATCACAAAAGTAGAGCTCCATACAGATAATTCTTAGTCCAGAATCTCGTCAACCATTGTAATTCCTGCGAAGCACCCCAAAATCCGCAACCATGACATCCACGCTGAGTAGAACTTCTGTAAATGTAATGTTGTTTCTCTAACTCCTTTGGTACTGAAGTATAAGATTATTATGGAGGCGGACATACCGCAAGTCCCAACCTTATCCTCTACAAAATCCCAGGCCTTAAACACACCTAAATTTTTGGGAGAACCTTTCAGTACCACATATATACATTTCATGCCAAAACTGATGACACATGACTCGCAATCCATTCATTGATAGTGGACTCCCCCACTCGGGCAGAAGTCATAGTTCACCACGTCCGATGGTCCACAATACTAACCTTCACAACTCGTATAAATCAACCATATGCCAAGGTACGTTGCACCCCCCCTCCATATTATTCACTGGGTGATCTCTTTATACGTCCGCATCTTCAGTCGGAATCACACATTGAGGCAATGTTTGAGCATTTCTGGCTCCCTCGTAGTTCATCTGCGGCACCACGAACCGTTGATGCACAACTGATACCGAGTGCGCAATGTCATACACGAGTAGATACAAATAAATGTGAAATATAGGTTTCAAGCAAAATCAATGCCGCACGATAATGAATGAAAGAGTTGATATTGTTTCTAAACTTCATAGCCTCTGAGAGATAAGTACAGACGTCTCCGTACCGATCCTTCAGACTCTACTAAGCTTTCTCGTGATTCGTGAGACCAATGTAACCTAGTGCTCCGATACCAACTGTCACGACCTGAAATTTTCCACCGACGGGACCGTGATGGCGCCTAATATTTCACTTACTAGGCAAGCCAACGTTAGAAAATCGTTAAACCAATTCCTTATTTCCATTCAGTGAATAACAATAATTAACTAAGATAAAATATAAGAGGTGCGGAATTTTATAAAACTGTATTAATTACTACCACCCGGATCTGGAGTCACGATTAACGAGCATTCTAGAATTTACTACAAGTAATAGTCTGAAAGAAATACAACTGTCTGAATGAAAGAAAACAACAATGACATTAAAGGTAGACGGGGACTTCAAAGTCTGTGAACGCCGACAGATCTACCTTGAGTCTCCGGACAATGGACCAATAGCAAAATCTCGATCAACCTGAGCCTGTATCAAAGTCTGCACAGAAAGTGCAGAGTGCAGCATCAGTACAACCGACCCCATGTACTGGTAAGTGTCGAGCCTAACCTCGACGAAGTAGTGACGAGGCTAGGACAAGACACCCACATATAACCTGAACAGTATAATCATGCTAGTGGCAACAACAGTAAATAAAGAAATAACGCAGAAATAATGGGAAGGGAACATACACTGGGGGGATACAACATAAAGAGTGAGAATAATGAAAAGATAGAATTAAACCGAAAATCCTTAAACGAATTGAGCAATTAAAACAGCAAGGAAAACTGCACGTCATCACCCTTCGTGCTTTTACTCTCAACCTCACCAAATAAATAAATAGAACGGCATGGCATCACCCTTCGTGCATTAAACCTCTCATAATATACACGGCATCACTCTTCATGCTTTAAACCTCTCATAATATTCACGGCATCACCCTTCGTGCTTTACACTCTTCCTCACAATATAAATAATGCATGCACGGCATCACCCTTCGTGCTTTACACTCTTCCTCAC